CACACACACACACACACACACACACACTCGCACACACAAAGAAAAAAACACAGGCTCCTTGTCATAATTACAGATCTTTTCCCTCCCTCTTGTTTTAGCAGTTAAAGTGTTTTAGCAGTTAAAGTGAACTCACTGCACTCTTTTTTTTGCCTTGTACAAATCTGCCCGATCACACCCCAGCACAAACCAAAACACTGAGAATCCAGCTTCATGCAGCATCAAATTCTTTGCTCCTTTTCGTATTTTGAGAGCAAGAGTCTGGCAACCTCTAACCCTTAGGGGCCCCATCGCTCACCCCATCTTTCTCACTCTCCCAGCAACCGGCTGACCCCGAACAGCTCCGGGCCTCGATGAAGCTTGACCTAGTCTGTCTGGAGGGGGTCTGATGCTTTTGTCTCGCTGTCTGCCTTTAACCCCCCCACTACACACACCTACTCACTTCTGAACGCTCTCGGCCACATCGCACCGTCCCACAGTGGACCGGACGGAGAAACTCTCCAACTAGGACAAGGCCACGAAACCTGCCGCCCAACTCATTCACAACCCTCTCTCATGTCTGTCCTAGCGATATGAGTAGCGGGGATAGTGGAACTAATAGGGATCATCACGGTTTGTTTCTCAGCCGACCGTCTGGACGCGGTCTGGCCCGGGAGCTTTGCGTGTGAAAAGCATAAGTCCTCATTCAGAACTCAGATAACAGAAAAGCAAACAAGCACATAACGGCGGAATGCACTGAATGAACTCTGGCAGAGTGAAAGTGCACGGAACACCACCGCGTCACACTCGAAACGACTTTTGAGCCACAACAAAGGGATAGAAATTGGAAAAAAGAAGAGGTTAGGAAGTGAAATGAGATTAAAGTACTTACCCCTCACTGTAAGGTCACCAGAGCCCACTTGCTGTTTTAAGAATAGCGATTTTAGTGACCAAAAATGTTTTTTTCCTATCAAAAAGTAGCTTCCAAAATCTTGAGTCCCTTCTTGAGTGCAATATGAGTTAACTTCCAGAATAATCAGTCTTTCCTCCATACATTTTTTTTTCCTCTCTCATCTTTCTCTCCCCCTCTCACACTCGTTCGCCCCCCTGCATTTGCTCCCGAACCCACACGCAAGCACACGCAGTCGGTTACAAAGCAAACTCTAGGTACACAGAGTCCTCAGCCGGTCCCACACACACTCACAGCCTTGTCTCAGGCTGCTGGAACGGGCTATATATGACTCGGTTGATGGACAGGGGCACATTCTGTCAGCTGACAGAAAGAAGCTCCTCCTATTGGCTGGCTGAGGCCAGCCCCGGAGCTAGGGCGCTGCGATTGGCTGCTTTTGAGGTTGCTGAAAGAAGAATCGCTCAGTATTCCAGACTACTGTTCTGGCCGGGGCAGGGCAGGACTGCTGCACTCTGTCAGTCCTAACACTAATCATTGTAAGCGAGAGCGAGAGAGAGGGAGAAAAAAAAAAAACAATTTAGCTGCTGCGGACAAGAATAGTCAGAGTTGCAAATCTTGTGTGGCTATTTTGCCTCAATAAAAATGTATTAGAAAAGTAGTGAGGTTTAGGAAGCAGGGATGTTGGTTGCCAGCTTCTTTCAGTGTTGTGTTTCTCATTTAATGCAAAAAACAAAAAAAACAAAACAGAAATACAGAATAACATGTTTTGTTATTGTTATTGTTACAACATGGAGGACGAATATGGTCTGTCTTCAGAATTGCTTTAAAACAATCCAACATTTTCTCTAGTCTTTTATTTAGTTTTCGGTCTTTTCTGTTGGTAATTTAAATGGTTCAAGTTTTGATTTTACTTAAAGCATAATTTTGTCAGTTGTTTTTGTCAGAATGTTTTTTGATGACTGGCTTTTTGTTGACAGTAATAAATATGAGATGAAAAGGAACATGACAATCATTTTTAAAATGCGCTGTTTACAAAAAACAAGTTAATTAGCTCACATAAAACCATCATGTATATATAAATACATATGGTATTAATCTGCTAGTTCCACAACAAACATGCATTTGAACAAACAATTTACAGGTGAACTTGAAATAAGCATAGCTGACGTTTTGAATAAACTACTGATGTATCAACACCACATGTATTCTTGTATATCTAAATACATATCTAAGTGTCTCTAAAACATGGAGAATTATAAAAATCTCAAAGCAGAATTCACAACAGTAACATCTAAATATTAGCTAATTTGTGAATGCAGATATTAAAATTTGGCACGTGATGATTATTTGCACCAGATGACGTCACCGACATGTTGTATATCTAGTAACCTGGTTTGAGTTTGAATATGAGCTTTCCATGTGCAACTAAGATTTCCAAGAGATTGCGTAAGAGAAGATTACCAACTAATAACTACGGAATTTCACATACATTATTTTAAAGAATTGTTTTTTTCTCCATAATGTAATAACTTTTTCATATATATGTTAATTTTGTGTATATAATGCCATATAATGACAGTTTTGTTTTAGTAGTTTTTTTTTTAGTGTTTTTTTTAATAAATGTAATACTTTTAAATGAATGAAAAGTTTACAATTAAAAATGTGTTCAAATTTGGTCGGTTGAATACAGTTTGACGCTAAAATATGGTTGTTGTTGACTACAGTGATTGCAATTTTAGAAAAATGGACTGAAATTGTTGTCAAAATTGCAACAATAAAGCACTCTCAATATTAACACTGCAAATGATAAAATCGTCCATTATATCTGTTATCAACTGTGGTAAAAAATAATTTTCAGCTATCTTAGCAGCCATAAATAGGTACTTCGCTACTCAAAGACTTTGAAATGTCCCCCTCACTACATGTTCAGTTGGTCTTTCTCCCTCAGCCTGGTTTTATATTCTGCTATTGTTTCCTGTTGCTGTTCAGATGTTGCAGATAAGGCTGCAGTCGTATCTCCGAGGTGATGCCAAGCGCCATCACGCTTTATTCTGTTCCATCCATCCTGCTCGATGATGATGACAAAGCCACGCTGGGACCAGAACCAAACGCTTTCATTCTTATCTGATAACGTCTCGCCCACGGCCATATAACTCCTTTTCCTCCTCTTGTTCCTCTTCTCGTGGCTTCTCTCCTTTCTGGTCCGAGTGCGGACTCCTCGGAAAAGCAGGCCTCTGTCAAGATGGGAGCGTTCTCGCCATGCCTTTGCATCTAAATGCGTGTCCATATGCATGATTGTGTGGCACAGCGAGCAGTCAGATGGAATAGATGTGAGTTGTGCCCAAGATGGCACCCCGATGCCCCCAGCGTAAACAGAGCATGAGTGTGGATGAGCAGGGCCGAGGGGCGGGGGCAGCAGAACCGTAAAATCATCTCGTTAGTATCCTCTGATTGTCACATCCGACTGAGGCTGATTTGTGAGGAGATTGCTAGGCCCATTTCTGACGCTCGGCTCTCTGAGCATTGGCCTTATCCTGCTTCAGCTTCACTTAGCAGAGCATTAGATCTTCGCTCAGATATGCTTCCTCCCCCGTGCTTCCTGGCACAGTGTTACTTGATTGTTACAGATGTTAATTGAATGCAAACCTAGCTGTAGTTGTGTACGCAAAGCAGGGTTGGAATCGGCTGCTGATGTGGGTGATGAAATGTGGAATTTGCTAACACGCTAAAAAGCCCAATTTCCGTTCTATGAGGATGGATGTGAGAGTTGTGAAGTGTCACGCTATCTAGCATGATTTTCTTTTCTTTATAGGGATAGTTCACCTAAAAATGATAGTTCTGTCATGACAACTCTCGGAGGGATTGGCATGGTAATGTACATGACAATGTTAAAGGGGTCATATGATGTTGCTAAAAAGAACATTATTTTGTGTATTTGGTGTAATGAAATGTGTTTATGCGGTTTAAGGTTAAAAAAACACATTATTTTCCACATACCAAATATAACATACATGAAATAACCCCCATATGAATCACCTCGTAGCAGATCTATACAGGTGGAGCTGGTGCAGGTGAGGGGTTTCTGAAGCAAGCTGCAACTGCTACGGCAAGCACTAGTCATATATTTGAATGTTGAGCAGCGAGCTCATTGGCTACCGATACAGGAGAGAACCAGTCAGCTGTGCCATGTGATGATGTCATTAGGTCAGATGGAGTTAGACCTATCGGACTGCGCCATCTAGAGTTGCATGCCAGAACTCTGTATTTCTGTCATTATTTAATCACCCTCATGTTGTTTAAACTGTAAGTGACACAAAAGAGGACATTTTGACGAATGTTCATACAGTTTTTTTCCATTCTGTGATGCAACAGTGGCTGTCAAGCTTCAGAAAGGTACTAAAAATTATCACAGAAGTGTACATTCACAAGATACAACCGAGACATTCATCTTGATGTTAACAGGCTTTTGGTTGGAGTAGACACCATATTGAGTGTTATACTGAACACTGAATCCTTTCTATACCATTGTGTGATATGTGACTTGGCTGGAGGGTTTAAAAGCTTGGTCTTGAACCTTCTGTCCTGTAAGTTCTTTGTTCAAGGCTCATTGTCGATTTTTTATTTTTTTTTATAATTATGAAAAAAGATACAAGGATACATTTGAAAACACTGTTTTCGCATTGTAGTGTGGACTGTGAAAATTGAGGTATTTGGAAATGATGCATGTTTAGTCATGTGACGCATATTGTACGAATAGATATCTGCGTGTATACCATTATTGTTCTTTACACTTTTACACAGTTTTTTTATAAAAAAAATTTTTTTTACTTTATAATACGACAGTGTAGAGGAGACAGGAAGTAAATTGATCCTGCCAGAAGATTATGTACTGTATGTTCCATCTGTATCATCTCAGGTTTTATACATGCGCAGTAAGGTGAATTTAACGTTTTCAGAAGTTTCAGTGTGGATTAGAAACCTTTGGAAAACGCGTGAAAATGCTAGTGTGGACAGAGACAGTTTTCAAATAAAAACAGTGTTTTCAAATGTATGCTGATTAATGTAAGTGTAGTCTTGAATGATGCATTGCTGGAGAAATTAATTAGCTAAACAGTTTCCTGAAACCGTAGTGACTTTGTTGCACATCCGCCGCTTAAACTATGTTGGTCTAACAATATAGAACTGTTGTTAATGGTGTCAGGTGTTGTTAATGAGGTGCTGCAGCAATAACTTATTCTAATTAATCAGTTGAGATCAAATTAATCTAGATTCAAGGATTATAGTTTTTGTTAAACTAGTTAAGTGGTGTAAATGACTAGTTAAAAATCTTTGTAAAAATGATGAATGAAATATGAAGTACAAATATTGTACAATCTTGTCTTAAACATGAAGAGTTCATTTGCAAAAAGAGATTACTCCGTTAACAATTTTCAAAAATCATGTTTTTCATTGTGCATTCCAATTAATCTCAATCAAACTGCAGTTGGGTTATTTTGATTAGGTCAAAAAATAACTAAAAAATACAGCTAACCAACACAATAAAACATAATAAAAAACACGATAACATAATAAAAAACACGATTTTTGAATATAAACAAAACAGAGTTATCTGTTCTTGCAAATAAACTCTTCACATATCCTATATGTTCAGAAATGATATAAAATAAGAAAAATTCTAAGTATTTCTGGGCCATAATGGAGACATTTTGTTTTAGAGCTCAACTCAAAAGACCATTTAAATTCAAAATGACAAAGTACATCACCAGTAGTAGGCAATTATTAAACAGTTAATGTTTAAAAAACAAACAAAAAACCCCAAAGAAAAAAACAGCAGCTTTCAGCCTGTTGCTAGCACGAAAACACCAAACATCAACTATATAGTACTAGTTTTTGACAGGTTTTTGCATTCCACTGCACTCTTTCCATTGTTTCTTCTTTGTAAACAAGAATTTTACGGACACGTTTGACCGTAGCGCTCACATTCCGTGACTTTTGCAGTGATAAATAAATAAAACCATGGCAGAACATTACATTCAAATGTATTGATAAAATCGGGAAAACTGCCCAGCCCTAAGGCTGCCAGCTCTGCACTGCATTAGGGGTACTGTAGTTTAGAAATGTAAGGCGTTTGGAACTGCCATGCTAGGCTTAGCGCTCTCTCTCCACGAACACATTAAAAACAACATCTGGGCCGTCTGGGGCAGTGCTGGCCACATGTGCAGCCCGAGTGAAGTAAGCCTGGCAATAAAGAATGTAATCTCTGCTCGGCCTTTGTCTCAGATCAGAAATA